CATAACACATTATGACACAGTCATAACCATGTCATAACAGCTGACATAACTTGTCATAACCCATATATTTACACCTGTTGTGACATACGGTATATTGCGTTATTTTATGGCTGGTTATGATACCTACATAAGAGTGTCAAAATAGTTTTTTCCCTGCCAAGAAGTTTCCTTTCGTCTGAAAGTTTGTTTATTAAATCCTTTGTTGTTTCATCATATTTTGAATAACCTGTCGAAAATAGACTTTATGACACTGTCATGAAGCGTTATGACCATCCTGTGTCACTTTACTTGGACTAAGAAAATACACTTTATGACACTGTCAAGAAGCACTATGACCATACTATGTCACTTTACTTAGACTAAGAAAATGCACTTTATTTCACTGTCAATAAGCATTATAACCATCAAATACAGTATCAGTCAAAAAGAGGGTGTCTTGTCCTGCTCCTAAAATCTGCTCCTGCATTCATCCCAGTCATCAGCAACAGAGCATTGGGGTATGTGCATATGTGACATCAATTTGTGCGCAATTACAATGATAATTTCATATACTCCTTTATTTTAACAATTATACAACATAAACATACTGTTGACACGTAGGCTATAATGTAATGGAATGTTTTGCCTTGTGTGGTAGGTTTTGTTGGTTTTGACGCTCTTATGTAGGTGTCATAACCAGCCATAAAATAACGCAATATATATCACGACAGGTCTAATAAGTGTCATGACAATGTTATGACCATATTATAACAGGCTATGACAAGTTACGTAAGCTGTTATGACATATTATGACATGGTTATGACCGTGTCATAACGTGTTATGATGCTGGGTGTCAAGTAAAGTGTTACCAAAAAATGCTTTAAAAAGTTTAGTTTATTCCCTTTCTTTCTTTCCCTTTTCTGTGTGACATGCGTCACCTAACTGTGATTGCGTTCAAGTCCGTCTCGTTATTGGAGGGTGGGGTTTGCATTATAAAATGCCAGTGTTTCCCTGTGCCAGGAGATTCCCTTTACCTGTGAAGGTTGGCGTGCCTCGGGAGAATAAGAGCGGTGAATGTGCCTTTAGTCCAAATTCCAGTGGGGCAGCCTATTCGTAATGTACAGTGCCTTCAGAAAGTATTCACACCCCTTGACCTTTTCCACACTTTTTGTGTTACAGCCGGAATTTACAATTGATTAAATTTAGATTTGTTTTTCACTGGCATACCCTATAATGTCAAAGTGGGGAATTAATAAATAAACCCCTTTGTTATGGCAAGCCTAAATAAGTTCAAGAGTAAAAATGTGCTTAACAAGTCACATAAGTTGCATGGACTCACTCTGTGTGCAATAATTGTGTTTAACATGATTTTTTAAAATGAATACCTCATCTCTGTACCCCACACATGCAATTATCTGTAAGGTCCCTCAGTCGAGCAGTGAATTTCAAACACAGATTCAACCACAGGGACCAGGGAGGTTTTCCCAATGCCTCGCAAAGAAGGGAACCTATTGGTAGATGGGTAAAAAACTATAAAAGTAGACATTGAATATCCCTTTGAGCGTTAAGTTATGTAACAATACATCCAGTCACTACAAAGATACAGGTGTCCTTCCTAACTCAGTTGCCAGAGAGGAAGGAAACCACTCAGGGATTTCACCATGAGGCCAATGGTGACTTTAAAACAGTTACAGAGTTTAATGGCTGCGATAGATCTACAACATTGTAGTTACTCCAGAATACTAACCCAATTGACAGAGTAAAAAGAAGGAAGCCTGTACATAATACAAATATTCTAAAACATGCATCCTGCTTGCAACTAGGCACTAAAGTAATACTGCAAAGAAATTGGAAAAGCAATTAACTTTTTGTCCTGAATACAAAGTGTTATGTTTGGGGCAAATCCAATACAAGACATTACTGAGTACCATTCTCTATATTTTCAAACGTAGTGGTGGCATCATGTTATGGGTATGCTTGTAATCATTAAGGACTGGGGAGTTTGTCAGGATAAAAAAGAAACGGAATGAAGCTAAGCACAGGCAAAATCCTAGAAAACCTGATTCAGTCTGCTTTCCTCCAGACAATGGGAGATTAATTCACCTTTCAGCAGGACAATAACCTAAAACACAAGGCTGTGGTTTCCATGTGGTTGATACCATTCCATTGACTCCATTCCAGCCATTAATATGAGCCGTCCTCCCCTCAGCAGCCTCCACTGCTGGAGTTGCTTACCAAGAATACAGTGAATGTTCCTGAGTGGCCGAGTTACAGTTTTAACTAAAATCTACTTGAAAATATATGACAAGACCTGAAAATGGTTGTCTAGCATGATCAACAAACAATTTGGCAGAGCTTGAAGAATTTTGAAAATAATAATGGGCAATTGTTGCACAATCCAGGTGTGGAAAGCTCTTAGACACTTACCCAGAAAGACTCACAGCTGTAATCACTGCCGAAGGTGATTTTAACATGTATAGATTCAGGGGGTTGAATACTTATTTAATCAAGATACAGTACCAGTCAAACGTTTGGACACACCTACTCATTCCAGGTTTTTTTTTTTTTAAACTATTTTCTACATTGTAGAATAATAGTGAAGACATCAAAACTATGAAATAAAACATATGGAATCATGTAGTAACCAAAAAAGTGTTAAACAAATCAAAATATATTTTATATTTGAGATTCTTCAAATAGACACCCTCTTGACTTGATGACAGCTTTGCACACTCTTGGCATTCTCTCAACCAGATTCACCTGGAATGCATTTCCAACAGTCTTGAAGGAGTTCCCACATATGCTGAACACTTGTTGGCTGCTTTTTCCTTCACTCTGCCGTCCGACTCATCCCAAACCATCTCAATTGGGTTGAGGTCGGGGGATTGTGGAGGCCAGGTCATCTGATGCAGCACTCCATCACTCTCCTTCTTGGTAAAATAGCCCTTACACAGCCTGGAGGTGTGTTGGGTCATTGTCCTGTTGAAAAACAAATTATAGTCCCACTAAGCCCAAACCAGATGGGTTGGCGTATCGCTGCAGAATGCTGTGGTAGCCATGCTGGTTAAGTGTGCCTTGAATTCTAAATAAATCACAGACAGTGTCACCAGCAAAGCACCCCCACACCATAACACCTCCTCCTCCATGCTTTACGGTGGGAAATACACATGCGGAGAACATCCATTAACCCACACCGCGTCTCACAAAGCAACGGCGGTTGGAACCAAAAATCTCAAATTTGGACTCCAGACCAAAGGACACATTTCCACCAGTCTAATGTCCATTGCTCGTGTTCCTTGGCCCAAGCAGGTCTCTTCTTCTTACTGGTGTCCTTTAGTAGTGGTTTCTTTGCAGCAATTCGACCATGAAGGCCCGATTCACACAGTCTCCTCTGAACAGTTGATGTTGAGATGTGTCTGTTACTTGCACTCTGTGAAGCATTTATTTGGGCTGCAATTTCTGAGGCTGGTAACTCTAATGAACTTATCCTCTGCAGCAGAGGTAACTCTGGGGGCTTCCATTCCTGTGGTGGTCCTCATGAGAGCCAGTTTCAACATAGCGCTTGATGGTTTTTGCGACTACACTTGAATAAACTTTCAAAGGTCTTGAAATGTTGATGGACTGTCGTTTCTCTTTGCTTATTTGAGCTGTTCTTGCCAAAACATGGTCTTTTACCAAATAGGGCTATCTTCTGTATACCCCCCCTACCTTGTCACAACACAACTGATTGGCTCAAACGCATTAAGAAGGAAAGAAATTCCACAAATTAACTTTTAAGAAGGCACACCTGTTAATTGAAATACATTCCATGTGACTACCTCATGAAGCTGGTTGAGAGAATGCCAAGAGTGTGCAAAGCTATCATCAAGGCAAATTGTGGCTATTTGAAATATAAAATATATTTAGATTTATTTAACACTTTTTTGGATACTACATTATTCCATATGTGTTATTTCATCGTTTTGATGTCCTCACTATTATTCTACAATGTAACAAATTGTAAAAATAAAGAAAAAACGTTGAATGAGTAGGTGTGTCCAAACCTTTGACTGGTAGTGTATATTAGTTTTATTTTTCATAAATGTCTTACAAATGGTAGAATTTTTCTTCCACTTTGACATTACAGAGTATTTTGTGTAGATCGTTGACAAAAAGTGACTATTAAATCCATTTTAATCCCACTTTGTAACACAACAAAATGTGGAAAAAGTCAAGGGGTGTGAATACATTCTGAAGGCACTGTATGTCGTTGCCAAGAGTGTGCCCTTCAGCCAGGATCCGCTCTCCTTCTCCCTGGACACGCCTCCTCAACTATGCACTCTGTATGTTTTGATTAGTATCAAGCAATTATGATAGTACTTTTGCGAGTAACAGAGCTGAAGATTTTATATATACGGAGCGTTCTGAAGTTTGATTATTGTTGTGTGAAACTACGAATTTATTGAATATAGGAATGAAGCTGATGCTAAAACTCTTAATTGCTGCTGCAGAAAATAAAACGCCTTCCATTTGCAGTCTTGTTGTTTGCTTGGTATTTCCATTCTCCTCCCCTGTTGGTAGAATCTGTGTGCTTACTGTTGAGATAATATTGTTATTCATTGATGAGCTGAAATTATAACTGATAATAATGATAAATTGAGATTGAATTACAGCCTAAAAGACTGTTTCTGTGGACTTGTTCCTATTAAACCTGTTGCTGAATTTGCTCTGTGCTTTCCCTTCAGAATGATGAGATCGACCATGCTGTTCCTATTGTTGACTCTCCTGGGACTGGCAGGCTCTATTGGCGCGACTGGGTACCTCTCCCCAAATGGTAAGGATAAGACCAATCACTTTAAATTGCATTTGAGTATTATTGAAGTCATCTTACAGGTTAATTAGTAACTAATTCAGAGCAATCAGCTCTCATATCAACTCATTTAAATGTGTAACCACAATTAGGTTGTTTCTCACAACTCTTTTTGCATCTTGTCCAGGAAAGAACGTGGCTTTAAGGGGAAAAGACACCCAGTAATCAATAATGGACTTTTATTATGTTCTAAACACCATTGATGGGAACCGTGACAGTGTTTTGGCACATGGCTCCTGCACACTGAGAAGGAACCTAACCCATGGTGGTGATTGGACCTGCTTCATCACCATCACCAACAGAATTTATTGTTGTTCCAGCAGACTGAATGGAGCTGAGATCCGGATCGGAGACTCTGTGGACGACAACAATGGCAACAACAATACCAGGTGAACTATGGGAGTTGTAGTTCCACTGAGTTGCTAAACTGGGCAAATTGTACAATTTGTTAGCATTATTGTGAGTTCACATGGGACTGTGTGCAAACGGACTCACAGTTACTATTTCTGCAGTAACTTATAATTTTGGTTCATCCTGCAGATGTGCTTTGATCGCTTCTATCCCAACAGGCGCCTCTAGCACCTTCCATTGTAACTGCATGGAGGGGCAATACATCAATTTGGTCATTCCAGGGAGGAAGGAGTACCTGACCCTGTGTGAGGTGGAGGGACTACGGAGCACCACATGACTGATCTGTACATTGATATGAACATATTACTAACACTCAAACTACAGCAACCGTACACTGTCTCCTGGGCTTTTCATTCTTAGATCACTTCTAGGGTTATAAATAATCAGACTCTGTTTTATAGACTGTGCATAAGTCATGTCTCTGCCACTTTATGGCTATTCAAGTTAAAAGTATTTGGTGAAGATAAAGAGTGAATCTAGAGCCTCTATGTTTCTAAAGCAGTTCATGCCACACATCATGTCATCTAAAAATGTATGTAAAAATGGTCTTATTGCAACATTACTGTAAAATGTTTTCAATGCTACTTTTAATTTGGTTTAATGTTATTATTTCTCAGTTATTTTCACTTAAGTAAATATTTTCTAACCATCATTCTGGTGTACTGTCATACCATTACAAGAATATTATGTGATGATGATGATGAAGCACAATTATACTGACGTGTCAACGTCAAATGAAGACCTTATGTAGGTCATCTTCAACTAAAATGTTATGTTGAATGTCGATAGCATTGAGTAGTTTCTACAGGAGTCATTTCAGATTAATCATTGCAGGTAAACGATTGGCAAATGATTATGTGCAGAATGCATACTTCAAGGGTAGCACTTTATAATAACACCTTGTAATAAAGCATTTATAATGGATTAGTTAGTTAATTCATAATTGATTAATCATTACTCCCGCATTTGTAAAGGTTATTAAGCAAATTATTCACACATTTATAAACAACAAGCATTTAATAAGATGTTTAATACAGGTCCTTATACATGTTCTAATCATCAGTAAAGTATTTTTGCATGGCCTAATATAAAGTGAGGGCTATTTATACATTATAAATGTTTTGAGTGACAAGTGGAATTTCTCACAGAAAGATGGACATGCCATTGGTAGACATTCTGGCAGTACCTGGTGCTCCTAATATAATAATGATAATGTATGCCATTTAGCAGATACTTTTATCCAAAGCGACTTACAGTCATGCGTGCATAAACGTTTTATGTATGGTTGGTCCTGGGAATCAAACCCACAATCCTGGCATTGCAGGCGCCATGCTTTACCAACAGAGCCATAACGGACCACCTCCTTAATTAAGATCTCAAAATGGCCCCTAGAACATATCAATGGTTAAACAATAAGCACACAATACAGAGGATGTCTACGAAAATACATGTGTTTTATTCCAAAACAGTCACACTGTTGTAGTAGGGCGAAGTGTAACTTTAAACACACTCTATACTGAGTAAAGCAATGTTTTTTGTCCGAAAATGCTAACGTTGGTGTTTCTTGGCAGTGACTTTTCTACCAAAACCAATGTGGATTGCAGTCACTCCTTAGTGCAGTCCATAGACTGCTTACGCGGTAAGGAAACAAATATCTGAATGCATCATTTCACTGAACTATCCCATTACGTTGAAAGCGTTAATACCTATATAGGCCCAGTAAAAGTTCCGCCAAACAAAGCAGTGTGAAAATAGTCTGTGGTTAAAAGACTAAAGCACTGGAAGCATTTAAAGGTTATACATGTAACATACAGTATCTACCTGCAAATCATACATGTAACATTTCTACCTCAACACATATCAGTAGTAATCAAGGAATAAATATCCACTAGAGAAAAACTGTCCGGTCCGGCAAGCTGTTGTGTGTAGGCAACATCTCCCTGTTTAATGATTAGTTTGCGTTTGGGAGGTCGACAACATTAGCAAAACATTTGCATTATACCTCTTCCTCACGTCCTTGCAACAGTTGTTTTACAGCAGTTTCTTGTGAATAAAAAGTTTGATATTTCCTTAAACTTCCTGTGTTGTGCTTGTTCTTTTACCATTGATATGTCAGGCTATTTTGAGACCTTAAGGAGTATCAGGTACTGCTACAATGTCTACTAATGTAATGTCCATCTTTGTGTGAGAAATTACACTGGTCACTCAAAACATTTAGAAAGTATAAATAGCCCTCACTTTAGATTTGGCCGTGCAAAAATCATGATGATTAGTAAATGGTTTATAAGGACCTATATTAAACATCTTATAAATGATCTAATGAACCATTATTACATACTTTATTTATTTTTTTAATATGTGTTAATAACTAGCTTATTAACATTTACACAATTAATAAACAATAAACAATGAATAAATAATGTACTAATCCATTATGCTTTATTATTACAAGGTGTTACTATAAAGTGCTACCAAATACACCAGTGACAAAAGAGGCCACAGATGGCCCCTTTTGACTTGGTCACAGTAAAGACAAACACAGTGATCACTGGAGAGCAGTCTTGGCCAGACAGGCAGAGAAGCAGGGAGGCAGGGAGGTGTGAGTGGGACAGGCAGTGTGTTGTAGCCCTCAGTATACCAGACACCCACCATGCGGCCCAGTCTGACAGGTGGACAGAAGATAGACAGACGGTCAGACAGGCAGGTTGGCACGCAGCTAGACAGACAGACATATAGACAAGACAGAAAAAATCAAATCAAATGTTATTGGTCGTGTACACCTATTTGCAGATGTTATCGCAGGTGCAGCGAAATGCTTATGTTTCTAGCTCCAACAGTGCAGTAATACCTAACAATACAAAACAATACGCACAAATCCCAAATATAAAAAGAAAGCAGTGTCAGAGTCCGGAATATAATATATTTAATGGTGTGTATAGACATTATGGATAGTATATGAATATAAAAGGTGTGTACAGCAGTAGTTATATACTGTAGGATGAGCTTTGACTAGAATACAGTATATACATATGAAGTGGGTAAAACAGTATGTAAACATTATTAAAGTGACCAGTGTTCAATGACAATGTAAATAGGGCAGACAGACAGACAGATAGACCAAGAGCTTGGATGAGCGTTCTCTGCCCAAAGAAAGCCCCGCTTCTCGCCCCAGCTTAGACCAACAGTGGATTAATTGGCTCGTTTGCCAAGAAAAACACTCTAATCAGTCGGTTTCCTCTCGTTAAAAGTTAATTCGTTTGACACGAGTTCCCTGCAGAAGAAAGCATTGGCCACTTAGAACTCATTAGAGCTAAAGGAAAACATCACACTGAGGAGCTGGTGGAGATGGAGGAGAGGGGAACGCACATGCAGTATATTCAAAGTCCACACACACACAGAAGGTCACATACAGGCGCACGCACGCACGTGCACACACACACACAATCATCAATAGACATTCATTCAAACATATTTAGGAGTGTCAGAAAAGTAGAAAACAAACACATTGAGCATAGTGAGGGGTGGACTATACACTGTAAAAAGTCATTAGTTCTGCTAACCTTTTTTTTTGTAGAAAGCTGTTGCCTAGAACCATTTGAGTAACCCAACTCAAAGTATGTTAGTGTTCAATACTTAACGTATTAAAGTGACCACCACCCTTTTAAAGTTCTAAATAACTGTTTTTTGTTTTATGAATTTTTTGACACTAAATTGCATTGTGTATTCTGAACTATAGTGATTGAAGTTACTTGAACATTCATATTTGTTGTATTGAACATAAAAATGTAGTGTCCCTTCTACTTAAATTGATAACCTTCATTACACATGTCAAATGTAGGTAGTTCTGATTAGTAATTTTAAGTGGTCGTGTCTTAATGTTTATTATTGTTTTCTGTATTTGACAAGTTGTCATTTGAACCAGTGCTCATTCCAGTAAGCTGTAAGCATTGAGTGGTGCGCATGACCTGGTTGATGGTGGGAATGGCTTGTCTCATTATTAAACGTCAGTTTGCTTGACGGTTTTGATATCCATTCATCATGATCAATTACATCTCATAGCACAACAAACTGCTTAATAATATTTTAGAAATATACTTTTCTTTCTTCAAACATGCATACAACATTATGTAAAACAAAGATAAATAAAGTTATATTAACTCAGTAACCCCAAAACCCCATCCTATCATTCCCTAACTCCTGTCACTCTCACCCCTCTCTCTCACCATCATTCCTGTCATTCTCTCACCCTCTCCTCTCAATACAGACACACTCAGAAGAATGTTAGTAATTATAGGAATGAGCCTCAGACTGCTTGGCACAGCTTTCCACTCTGATGGCCCTCTCTAAACACAATCAATAATCCTTGTTCTCACAACATCCCCAAACATCACACACACGCACGTGCACATGCACACGCACACACACACACACACTCTCCATCTTGTCCTCTTTCCTTATTTCCCCTCCCTCCTTCCATCCTCCCATATGCTGCTTGCATTCTCCCAGATCTGTCCAACCAGCTCTCACTTCCTCTTCTTAATGAATCATGAAGTTTGACTTGTACATGCTAATAAAGTCTGTTTTGCAGCGAGTGGGGAGGGGAAGCACTAGCGTTTGTTTTCCTTTAATTAGGTAGCCATGTTCCCGAAGCGAGGGGCTAACGTAGGCCCGGGCCCCAGAAACAGGGCAGAGAGGAACCGTTTAGTTCCAGCATTCATTAACATGTGGACGTAAGACGAATGGGCGCGGGACACAGATGGAGACGGCTCAGGAAACATACAGCCTGGCGCAGCGAAATTAAGCACAATGATAGGAAACGTCCAGGAGAAAACAGCAGTAGCCGTGGTGCTGAGAGAGAGGGAAAGGGATAAAGAGGAAGAGAGAGAGAGAGAGAGAGAGAGAGAGAGAGAGAGAGAGAGAGAGAGAGAGAGAGAGAGAGAGAGAGAGAGAGAGAGAGAGAGAGAGAGAGAGAGAGAGAGAGAGAGAGAGAGAGAGAGAGAGAGAAAACAGCAGCCGCAGTGGTGCTGAGAGAGGGAGAGGCAGAAAGAGAGGGAGAGAGAGAGAGGGAAATGAAAAAAAGAGGAAATGGGGAAAGTGCTGGAAAACCTATGCAGACTACCGGGTAATGAATCCAGACTGGCATGTAATATGGAAGATAACTTTGTTTTGGGAGCTTGACAGAGTGTATCCTATGAGTCTGTACTATGTCATGATGTGAAAGGGTCAGACAACATGAGGAAATGGAGTGTCCTGTCTCTGAGCAACCAGCCAAAATAC